TGTTTTTAATTTACTGAGATCTCATTTGCTTCTAACAGCCTTTCTCTGCTTCATCCTCATTAAAATCTACAGACATGTCCGCCAAGGATATATCAAGATCCTTCTTACTCTCAAACAGACATGTAAAGCCCTTCCATTAGCTCATTCACAATTTTTTTTCAAAAGTCATTAATCATTTACATTATTATCCTATTAAAGGCCATATTAATACTGCAGCACAACATAAGACTCTTCTGCTTGCTGAGATATTTTTTGGATTGTTATGCTGTAAAGTGAGACCAGTTGTTTGAAGAATATAAGCAGATAGAAATGTAGCTAAACCTGATTTTCATCATTACTAAAGCATAAGCCTAAAAGTTCCACTTCACAGATAAAAGTTTATGGCCTTCATCCCCCTGCCCCTCAGTCTTCCACTTTCTGGTTTTGAAGACAGTTGAGTTCTTAATTAGCATTGTTCTACTCTATTACAACTCCAAAATACAAACATCTCTCATATCATGGTAGTGGAAGCAGATCTCTCTGTGATGATCTGCACTCAGAAGAACAGAGCAGCTAAACCTTACATACACCTTCCTTACCAGAGTCTCGAGGAGCTCACAGCTGAGAAAAGCTGCCTTGCTGTGACCCTCACCCTGCGTGCCTGCAGAGAAATCACTAGTTTTGGTCATGGCAGTGCACTTCCTTCTCTCTCCCATCTGCTCTGCAGCCAGGCAGGCAGTACCTGAACTAAAGCCCACCCACAGCAACAGGCACACCATGATGCCGTGTGCATTGGCTTGCAGCAAGGTCACCATGTGCTGAGGGAAACTAAAACATGCTGGAACACAGAGCAATTCAGTGAGGGATGTAATTCTCCAAAGTGGGGATTTTTTTTTAAATAGGCAGGGAGGTGAGAAACAGGAACACCTGCTGCAGGTTGGCAAGTGAAACATTTGCAGTGCAAACCAGGCCCAGAAGGAACACAAAAGAGGCCAGGTGGAACACTGGGATCCCTGGATGTCTCATAGTGGTCAACATTCATGTGTAATCTGGTTTAGAAGCCTCTTCTGTGATGGACAAGACACTCCTCTTACACACTGACACTACAGAAAACTCAAGAAAACTCAGCCCAGTTTTTCCATCAAATCCACTTCCGTTTTACCTTTGTGTTGTTCAGAAGCCTTAGCTGATCCAGCCTTTGCCCCACTCCTCTTTTGTTTGGTTTGTTGGGGATTTTTATAATTATTATTACCAAACTAACAATATTGCAGAATTCTCCCAAGTTTTTTTTATGAGTTTCCTTTAACTAGCCCATCATCTCTGTGCGCTGGTTTCAGTTTCTGTAACATCATGTATTTACAGGACAACTGCCCCAAATCTCTTCAACAACCTTTGAGGGATTACATGGAAGAAAACTGCTTTTAAACCTTATGTTTCTGGCTTACTTAATATGGTCTCACTTCAAACTTTTGCCTTTAAAAGCTCAAATACTGGGAAAAATTTAAGTAAAAAACAGCAGAACCTTAGTTTACTGTTGTAATCTTTACTATGACACACCTCACTTGCTCTAATTACATGGTTGAACAGGCAGTAAAAATGTGACTTCCCATTGATACCTAAATCAACATTTCCTCTCAACATACATTCAAACATTTAATGTTGCTGGATCCACAGCAAATGACAAGTGTTTTGCCCTTTCTATTTCAGTTTTGGCAAGTATGTTTTTTTCAGGGATCTCTCAGAGAAAAAGGAACTTTTCCCTGTATTGATTACACAGACAACAGCATGATGAGGTGTGATATAAATATTTCCATTTAACTAAGTACAAATGACAACATTTGGTGTTGTTGACAATCAGGTTCTAAAAGAAGATGGGATACATGATTGGCACTAGCCCTATCTTAGGAGCACCCACAACAACTCAGTTAAACAGCTGCTAAACGAAAGTGCAAGTAACTCTAAAGCTCTGCTTTCCTATGCTGCCCAAATAGGGAAATGGTTTTCCCCTTTCTCATCCCTTTTTTTCCAAGAGCTGCAGAAGACTTGGGCTAGGTATGGCCTACTGCTTCTCCTCAGAGGTTCTCAACAACTGTAAAGAAGAGAAAGAGCTCTTGAACGTCATTCTCCTTTAGAGAGGCATGTCCTTCTTTATTACCAGCTCCTCTTGTATGCAGTTCTCTACATGCATTTGCACTCTGCACCAATTACAAATTTCATTCTTGTAATGCAGAGAACCATTAATAATTTAAGATTAAAAAGGAACCTAAGGGCAGGAATATTCCATTTTTGCTCACGAGATAGATGGTATGCTGCTAGTATGTCAACTCAAGTTATCTTTGTGCATGCTACGTTAATTCGGCAAATTGCTTTTCAAACAAAGTGCATGCAGAAAGTGCCTGGAGATTCTACATGAGAAGAAAGTTTCATTTCTATAGCAAATGCGCCAAACCCATACCCAGAAAGTGAAGTATGAAGAAATTTTAGTTTTGTCCATTTAGTTTTCACAAACAGGGGTTAGCCAAGATGAGTTTTGTAAAGAAGCCCTCTGCAAGAGCGCATAAAAGTCATGCCAGGTGTAGTGATAAACAGCCCGGCGCCCTGCCTGCACGGAAAGCAGAGAAACAGCGAACGCGTCTAACGGTGTGGAATGGCTCAGGAGCGATGCGGCAGGACCGCCTGACACCCAAGCGAGCCGTCAGCATTTCTGACCTTACCGCGGAAGGGAACGGGACATCAGGGCAGGGCGGGCAGGTGCAGAGACTGTCCTGGGGCGGGAGCCGGGTGCTCGGAACGGGGAGCGCCCCCGGCCCGCCGGTGCCAGCCCCGCGGTGCCCCGGCCGCCCGCCGCTCCTTCCCCCGGCGTCCGGCCCCGCGGGGTCACCCACAGCCACCGGCGGCGGCGTCTGCCCGTCCCGCGCCCGCCGCCGGGGCCGCAGCGTCTCACCTGAGGGCGGAGCGGGAGCGGCTGGGGACGGGACAGAAGCGGCGCTCAGCGGGGTGCGGTGTCTCGGGTGCGGTGCCGTGCCGCTCTGTGCCGTGCCGTGCCGTTCTCTCCTGTGCTTTGTGCGCCGTGCCCAGCGCGGAGCGGGCGCGCGCGTCCCAGCCAACCAGCGCCGTCACGTGAGCGCGTCCCGGCACGCGGCGCCGCTGCCGCGGCCGTTAGGGCAGCGCGCGCGCGGCGGCGGCGGGAAGCGCGCGCGGAGAAGGGCGCGCGGCGGCGCGCGCGCTGCTCCGCTCTGAGGGGGCCGGGGGTCGCCGCGCCCCTCACGGGGCTCTGGGGCTGCCGGCGGCGGCGCGCTCGCCCTTCCTGCCCTCGGGAGAGATCGTTTCCAGGAATTGAGGGGCTGCGGAGGCAGGAAATCCTGCGGGGCCCCGTGCGGGGAGCGGCTGCAATGGCATCACCTCCGTGCGCGGGAGGGTGGGGTCCCCAGCCGCCTCCTCCCTGCTCCGTGAGAGCATCCGCGCGATGGAATGTGGATCGAGGTGTGTGTGCCTCCCTGAACTGTGAATGCTCTTGTGTTTAACATTGCTGACGAGTCTGATGAGTAAATCCTACCTCACCTCAGTTTCACCACACAGAACTTTCATGCTGAAAAAAAAAAAAAAAAACAAAACAAACCAAAAAACCGTTAAGCCTGTTTTCCGGTCAGGATGCTTTCCACTTGCCCTGCCCTCAGGGTGTCTGACCTCTCTATCAGTAATACGCTAAGAGAAGTCTTTAAAGAGAACAATAGCGGGTCTCCGTAAATAATCCAGCTCCGTCAGACATTTAAAACGGCTGTAGTACGAATTGCTGAAATTATTAGGTAAATTTGATGAACGGCGCAGTAGTCTGGTGTTAAAGTCACTTTCTGCTTACTCCAAGTCTTGGACTCAATTTTCCACCCTGGGTCATCGTGTGCTGCTGAGGGGGATTTGGGAGGACTGTGGGGGCCGGGCACTCAGCCCTGGTGCCAGTGCTTCACGTCGGGGATGTTTAATGGTGGTCACGGAGGGTTTCTGCCACCACAGCCTTTCTGAAAGGGGAAGGGCTGAGACAGAGGGCCTAAGGACAGCAGGAGCTGGCAGTATTGCAGGTAGAGAGGCAGGCTGGGCTTGCAGCCAAACTGCTCTCCTAGCTCAATGGCAGAGATCAGGCGCTCTGTGCAGAACCAACGAACCTAGCTCCCATATAACAAAAACCGTAAGAAAAGCAGGGTTCATTGAATCTTCATTCTCCTTTTGGTAATTTTCATTTCATGTGCTTCCGTGTGGAGTCATGAAGGCTTGAAATGTACCTGCTGTATACTGTATGAATAGTGAAATATACATGTATGCTGTATCAGGATGCTGAACTGTGCAGCAGGGGGAATTAGCCTGTGCAGAGTTCTGTGATGCCACGGACAGACTGCCTTCAGCACATAAATCAGTTTTGGACTATTATCAAACACTAACATACCCTGTTTGACATTTGTAAAAGAAATGTGGGAGAATGACCACAGAATTTCAGGAGCTGAGCCTATAAAATAAATGGCACCGGTATTGTCAAGCCCTCATTAAGTGGACAGAAACTGGTAGCAACTTGGCTAAACGTAAAATTTAGAATAAGTGACTGAAAGATAGTGACCTTTGTTGCATATGTGGTACTAAGGACAAAGAAAGATTGCTAGGCCATAGTTACTCCCAAGAATTGGAAGGATTATTTTATTTGGGAAGAACTTTTACAGAATCCTGGTAACTCAGAGCCCCAACGAGGAAGCCTCCACCATGCTTCCACAGTATTTGCGTGCAGAATTGTAGAGTTGTGCAATTTCACTCTGTACAAACAAACTGTCTAAATTCCTGTAATTTGTGCTGGAAACACACTATCATTTGCAAGGCAATTGGAGCAGACAGCTGAGCTCACAAGGGTTATCATCTGCATCTGTTCAGAGGACAGCCTCCAACTTTGTATTGGCTAATATTTTTAGCTTTGCTAAGTAAACCCATATGAGATAAAAGTCCACCCACACAACAGGTTATATAGTTTGCTTTAAATCAGCTGTGTTTTGTGAATACTGAAGGGCTTGATTCTGTTTCATGTATTTCCTTTAGCAGTTCAAAATTAATTTAGGTTGTTTGAAATGTGCTTGACTGACAATTTTAGAAACTGAATTCTTGTGTTTAATCTCAGACTGAGTCTGACACAAGGCAGCCACTCAGCTGTATTAGAGAGGAAACTTTGCTAATCTGAGGGTAGTCTTATTACTTACTTTCACATGCTGGTAAAGGCAGGATTTCCTGTTTTTTCACTGATCTATAGTTACTGGGTTTATTATACATACATGATTTTAATGTAATGTATTTTCATTACATTAAAATTATGCCTTGGATACTAAGATTGTATGTTTAATTTGGAACAAAAAAAAAAAAAAAGCAAGTATTTAGTAAAACATCCGCCCTTTAAGGTATGATAATTCCATTTCAGCCTTAAATGGCTAGTAGTATGGAAAGCTAATGATCTTCACAGAACACTTGCTCTCTTTCCACCAACTTTCATTCATAGTCCTTATTGATTTTTGAAAAATTAATTTATGCTATTAATATTGTGCTTATTTTTGTGTAAAATTACAGGTGTTGAATCTATAAGCAGAGATGGAGTGCCATTATCCTTCAAAGTGCACATGGAATAGATAACAGAAGCCATGTAAGTTCTAGCTTCCAGAAATGGAAGACAATTTATGAAATTTGCTGTTAAGAATAATTGTTGGCTGAAAACTGTGTAACTTTTATGATAATATCTCTTGAATCCAGACATAAGACCATCTGATACCAGTCAGGATGTCAAGTCTGTGATTTTTCCTCATTCACATAAGATACTGAGGTGACAGAAATATTTATGATTGTGAGTCTTTTCATTGCTACACCGTTATCAAGCTGCAGTTACATTAGTCTGACTAGAGTAGCTTCAGGTGACTCATGGCTTTCATTATATGTCTGAGCTTTTAAAGGGTAAAAGATTTGGGAGAGATTTTTTTTTCTGCAGAAAAATGAAACAAAATCTGTTTTGTGATAGTAAGTACATTTGTAATCTTTAGCACTCACTACATATTATAGGATGGAGGTAGATTTTGAGCTTTCTGGAAGTTCTCTAAGCTGTTTTCAACCAGTGCCTTGAAGCAATAGGAGTCACTGTCAGCAAATCGAGCATAGATCTTTGTGCTGTGGTGGAGCAGGGAGTGTTCCTGTGTTCAGTTCTGCCAAGTGAACTGTGGTGACCCAGGAGGTCATATGGGACATGGCATTGAGCAAGTCCCAGGCTTTCCAAACAGGGTTGTAAGCCAATGGCTCATTATGCTACAATTTATTGATGTTTTTAATGTTTTATCCTCTAATGTCTTAGGGTTATGACTTTAGTTACTGTATCCCTTTACTGACACATTGGTCTGGAACTGGCTTCAGACAGTGGCATTCTCTTGCTGAGGATCCTCTGGCTCTGCCCACAGTCCCCAGGAGGCTGTGGCCACCTCTGGCATCCATTCTCATTCCCTGTCATTTGGTGTTAGGGCAGGTGGAGCTCCTGTTCTCTACATCTGTGTGTGGCAAAGATTGGACTGGCTTTGAAGTCTGCTTCTTTGTCCTAAGAGACACCAGAATCACTATCAGGAGCCTTCCTGAGGGTTTTCAGAGCCTTTCTTAGAAGGCCTTATTACAGCTTTAGTACAATAAATCAGAGGAGTGAGAGGTTTTAGTTCTTCCCTATGAGGATTTGGCAAGTCCAAATCTAAAACATTATAAATAGTTCAGTGAGAGTTGTGAGCAGAACAAGAGTCAAATAAAACATCAGGAGGTACACTAGAACCTTCTGGTGGAGGCTTATCTTATCCTTATGGAGTGTTATAAAAATAATCTTATAAACACTGAAGTAATTGCCACCATGAATCACATTGTGTTCATACTAGACAAACCTGCATAAGACTGGCAAAGGTTTATCTGGGTAAAGATGCTGACTTGGAAACTGTGTGAGAGAAAAGATTTCATTGGCAGACTGTTGTAATAGTGAAGTATTTTATCCTGAGGAGAAATAGGTTGTGGAAATGTCAAATCTGTATTATACAAAAGTAAGTCAGAGGGAATCTATTCCTGATCTTGGAAAACCTACCTGAATCTCCCATTGCTTTGGGCTCATAAATATCAGGAGTGAAGTGACAGCAGAGCTCCTGAGTTCTGGTGGTTCAAACAAATAAACATTTATTAACTCTGGTTTGATGGACAGTTCCTGTTTATCCAGCATTGTTCACAATCATGTCTTAATACAGTTTGTTCTTTTTAAATAAAAAGGTTTATAACTAGCTTGGACAAGCCTTTGAAGAATACACTCCAAAGAACACTGGAAAGAACAGCAATGCCATGGAAGGAGGATAAAGACAAGCCTTTCCACTAATTTATTTTCACAGTTTTATTAAATGTGGTGAATATGTTTAGCCACACCGAACTAGTCTTTGGTAAAGCAAAAGCTTCATCAAGAAAAGCTTGCATGACTTAATAATTACACAAAATTGATCCAGGAAAAAGAGATCATGAACTAATGTAGAGTGCTAAACTGTCTGAAGCTTATTCATTCTTAAGTTCAAATGTAAAACTGAGGCAGTACAATAACAGACCAAAATATTCCTATCCTATCGCACCTCCTCTCCTCTCCCCCTCCTTCTCCTCTCCCATCCTTTTTCTACACTTGTGACTACAGAGCTCATGGATGAATTTGCTTTGGGGAAGGAGAAATGGCTCTCTCCATTTGTGTGTGCTCCTGCGATGTAAGGGTTTGTGGCTATATAGTTCCCTTGTCTAGCCTGATTTGCAGAATTTAATCCCCACTTGAAACCCAGATGGATTGCAACACTGCATAGTGTGTGTAGTTGTTTGCTCTGCCAATACAGAGGATTTGCACCAATGTTGCTGCTTTCCTAGCAAATCCTCTGTAGAACGAGCCAAGACCTGTGATACCACATAGGCTTAGTTCTCAACACCCTTTCACCATAACCTTTCACCATGCAGCAAATGTGAAATGCTACCAAACTAGAGCAGTACAGTTTTACCCTGCTTGGAAAGCATTTGTGATCAGCTGTAACTCGAGGAAAGAAGGCCCATTGTGAATTAAACACTGTTTTGCTGAAAACGTGTATTGGATTTAATCCAATTACTTGTTTGCTGGCACAAATTCTTTTGGTGATCATGAGTTTCCAAGAAAAAAGATAAAATTGTATCTCCCTTCCTAGATTTAACCCTATTCAAATGTCAAATTGTTTTGTGTGTTTCCACTCCTGATCTTGAAGTCTGGACCAGAGTGGAAGATAGAACGAGCACACCACCTCCAAATTCTTATCATCTAGGCCCAAACTCTTCTTGTGCAGTGTGTGTGGGAATCTCTCACAAGCATCACACTCAAAAAGCATATCATTTTGTGGTGATTTATGCATCAGTTCAAATGCTGGTTGCTGTAAAATAATTCCTTGTTTCTATCCTCACAAATACTGCTTATAGTACCATAGGACTTTGACCAAAACTAGCCAGTCTGTATAAATACAAATAAATAAAATAAATGCAAATAAATAAAAACAGTGCCTTCTGATAGCTCAGATTATGATATGCCTGAAAAAATGGATGCACACATATATCTGAAATGTGGACATTGGCAATTTTGATAGTTCTCAAGATGGTCTAATATGTTATAGTAATATGTTTTGTTGTTGAGTGTTTGAACCTCATGTGAACATGTTTTTCTAGACCTGGTAATAGGCTGCTATCCACAAAAGGATATTTAACTGTAAGTAGTATTTTTCATGTTGTTTAATCTACTTACTCTCTATTTTAATTTCTTTCTTTTATCTCCCATTTATCAGTTAAAACAAAATGTAGGTGCTTATATAAAACTTCTCAACAAAAGTTTTTGCTGCTAAAAAGGCCCAAATGCAAACCTCAGGTTTATATGCTACCCTCTGCTGTGGGCTGTGCCATGGTTCCTCAGAAAGCCAAAATCAACACAGCACAAAGCCACAGAGGACCTGAGTGTCAAGTAGAACTTCTCCTTTGTTTCATGTGCACTTGGAATCCTTATTTTGCTGTTAGCTTATGAGACCATAAGAGGAATTATGAATTATCACTTTGCAGTGTATAATTAGTGGAGACCAGAGTTGTTTCACTGTAAATAAGAGAGGTCTGCTAAAATGGCAGTCAGTAAATAATCCTTGTGTCTGGATTCAGATTCTGACTTCTTTGTTTGGGCAAGATGTTGGACCTGATGGTCTGGATTTTAATTGTTTGTGGAACTGGAGGGTTAAAGAGGATCAAGAAAGAGAATTATGATTTTTGTATTGCCTCTACATTTAAAGATTGTGGTATACTGCATGAGGAAACTTGCTCTGCATTTTCCAACAGAGAGACATTGAAAATATGCCAGATGCATTTAAATGAACTTATTAAAAAGTTGAAAAATGTGAAAATATGAGGAAAAAATAAAGGGAATACTTTTTCTGAACATTTCTTTCTAATCTTCAGATTTACATTTTAATTGAAATAATTCCCTCTTTTCTTTTAAAAATATTACCCCTTGTCCCATTGTACAAACCCTACTATGTTTCTCCCTATTTTTCTTATAAGTCCCATTTAAGCTTCCAAAAGCTACAATAGGGTCTCCTCAAAACCATTTATTCTCCAGACCAAACAACAACTGCCTCAGCTTTTCCTGGGCAGTTGTGGAGGAGTTGTTAGGAGAGGTGTTCCATCCTTCTGATTATTTTTGTGGACCTCTTCTGGACCCACTCTAGCATGTCCACATCTTTCCTGTGCTGAGAAACCTAAAAGAAGCATCCTACCAGTTTAGATGGCAGCACCCATAGTTACTACGAGAAACTGTTACAAATTATCTGCATAGATGTCAGTTATCCTAACTTCCTAAATAAACTGAGTCACAGAGCCAAAGGGCTTTTAAGGCTGCCAGTGAATCTTTAACACACAGTCAGATTTCAGGCTTCATGGACCAGGCATCTCTGGTGCTACAATCACCAGCAGCATCTACAGGGCATCAAGATTCAATTCTATGGAAAGGGATTTGAACTTGCAGTGATAGGCACTTTCCCAGCTTAGTACAGACAAGCAGTGCTTCTGCAGGGTCTCATTTTGAGACTCCTCACCTCATCAGCAGGTCAGAGAGCTGTTACTTGTAGCAAACCAGTTGCGAGGTCCTGGCCTGACAAGTAAGGCAGGAATAGGAAATCGGTGTCAATACTTCAGACTATAGAAATTTCCTTTCTTTCTAACCCTGAATCTATTATGACTTTCAAAAGATAATATGGTAATCTGTCCTGTCATCTGTTTATCACAGCACTTGTACTGTTACATATTGTGGTTCCCAATAACAGAAAATAAAGTGTAAAAACTTGACATAATCTATAGTTAAAAGCCAGGTTATTTTTAAATTTTGGATTTGTTTTGTGGAAAATAGATGACTTGGCCTTTTCTTTGTCCAAAGTTGATCTGTGAAGCAAAAGCAAACAAACAAAAAAAAAAAGGTAGCCTTAGTGACATGACTGACTTTCTGACTTTCTGAATTACCTGGCAAGGGCATTTGTATTTCAGTATTAGTCTGGGCCATTAGAGAAGTGAACAGCAATTTTTGATTGGTGACTGCAAAATTTTATTCACAGAGCA